GAATCTTTGCTGGCAGGATGCCCAGATTCTCCCTACAACAGTTCCCGCAGAGTGTAGGGCATCTTGGATTAACTTCAGATGCCAGATGGCTGACTGCAGATGAAATTGAGTTCTCTGAGCTTCTGGGGGAGGTGTTATGGAGTCCTCATTTTGGAGGTTTTACATTACATCTGGTTCCTGGCTGGCCACCCACTCCTATCTGTCCTCCAACTTGGGACACAAGTTCGCACTTTGCCAGACTTTCACTCAACTCCTAATTTCCCCTCAAACAGAAAACCATTGTGGTCCGAGGGAAAAGAGCTGGGGCCCCGCTTTCGCGTTCTGTGTTTCAGTGGGGGAGAGGCCGCAGCCGGCGCTGCTGCTTCTGCCTCTGCCCATCTTGGTAGGACATTCAAAATATTTTTCAGTGTTTGTAGGAAGGGAACTGATTCCCTGCACTCAACTCCTGATTTCCCCTCAAACAAATCCATGTGGTCTGAGGGAAAAGAGCTAGGGTGCTCCTTTTGCCCTGGCGTTTAGCTTATTTCTGATGGGGGAGGGCCACAACTGCCACTGCTGTCGCAGCCACTGCAGCAGAACGTTCAAAAGACTCTTCAGTGTTTGCAAGAGGTGAACCGATTCACCCTGCAAGTCGCTGCATCAGTGTAGCTCCACACAGACTACCAAAATTACAGGATGGATCAGTTCCTAAGCAGAGTCCCTTCCCCTCGAGTTTCTGTCCGAATGCCTAGATCCCTGACTCCCCAAACTGGTTCCAAATGTCTCCCGTTTCTGGCTACCAAATTCCGCCTGGGAATCCACACCTCATCATACTCTCTTTGAGACACGCAAAATCCCCACGAATTGGGCACAGGAGCCTTTGGTGGGGGAGGGATTGGTTTCTGTCTCTCAGTAAGCAAGCCGCAGAACTGGCACCACAGGATGCAAGCCGAGGACCTGGCGTTGCAGGTCACATATGGTGCTGTTTCAGCTGCTGCCCTGAGTTTTTTCTGGCTGACACCATAGTTCTGAGCTACACTTCCAATCCAGCAATTCACCTCTTTGCTGCTCGCCCTGCACTGCTTATCCGTGCAAGGACTCCACGTGGAAGGGATCCAATAAGCCCGCTCTCACCTGAAACCACCAGGAGAATTGACTCAGGGATGCATCTCCTCCGCCATCTTGCTCCACCTCCCTCGAGTACATTGAATACTTTTTCTTCCATTCTTGAGATACTTTGCTAAGGAGGACATTGGCTGTATAGTATTCCATGGTGTACATATACCACAATTTATTGATCCATTCATGGGTGGATGGGCATTTGGGCTTCTTCCATGACCTAGTGATTGTGAATTGGGCTGCAATGAACATTCTGGTACAGATATCTGTATTATAGCGTGATTTTTGGTCTTCTCAATATATACCTAACAGAGGAATTACAGGATCAAATGGTAGATCTATATTTAGATCTCTGAGAGTTCTCCATATGATTTTCCAAAAAGGGCGTATTAGTTTGCATTACCACCAGCAGTGTAGTAGTGTTCCCTTTTCTCCACAACCCCGCCAGCATCTGTGATTTTGGGTTATGTAGCCACTTGGATGAGAGTTTTTCAAACTGTATATGGAAGCAACACACCGTATCCTATGATAGAATTAATGTACACAATTATGATCTAATAAAAAAATATATAAAAAAAGAAAGGGAATGTGAGTATATCACAAAAAGCAAATGAATGGATCAATTTCATTGTTGGAACTGGCAGACGGAGTACAGCCATGTGGAGACAAAGGCAGTTGTATGTTTATTCAGCAACTTGGCAGTGCTCCAATTCCCATCTTTTGTGTTTTTATGAAAGCTCCATTATACAATCATGGTTTTTTTGTGATAGATTTGGGCCCTGGAATTTGGTATTCAATTCAACCTTCATCCTCTCTCTTTTCTCTGGAGGTTGGTGTGATGCTGATAGTTCCAACACTCTAATCATAAGGTTGGTTACCCTGACAAGGAGCCCACCCCAAGACTGGTCAAGAGTCCACAAGACTGATCTTGCTGGGGCAAAAGTTGCTCCCATCACCCAGGAAATTCCAAAGGATGTAGGAGATCTGTGTCAGATGTTTATATCAGTCAGGCAATCTCAAGTGTCTTAAAAGCTCTGTGGCAGGAACCACAGTCAGAGAGAAATATTAGATAAAAATTCTCCCAGCATTCTTATTAACAAGGGTTTGTTTCAACAACTCAGTGCCAGGAACCAGAGGAAGAACCCAATACATATACTTCTTATATTACAAAATAACTCAGTTACTATCTGTATCTAGGTGTTCATGACACTGAGTTTTAATGTGTTATCCAAATTTAATAATTATTTACCTGAATAAAATATAGTTTTTTAAAGCTTTTATTTCTCTGTCATGTTTAGTTATTTGTTTATTCTGAATGTTTATTATTTGGTTCTAGAAATTATATTTGCTTTCCTATGTGGTTTCTGTTGCTCCTCACGTAATTTTCTTTGTCACTATAATCACAGCTATAAAATCTGCTTTAAAATCACTTTCTGTTAATTGCAACATCTGAGCTATGGTGGGTCTAGTCTCCATTGATCATTTTATGGCTTGAATATAGGTCAGTTTATCCTATTTATCTGTTTAGTCATTTTGGGATGTGTCCTCACACATTGTAGAGATTGGATTCTGTGTCATTTTTTTTTTTGACACAAACATAAGAGCATATATGATTGTTCTTTCAGCAGACAGTTGATTTAGTTAAAGTCAAATTCCACATTCTTATGTCTCAGCTCAGTTGTTTTAGGCTTCCAGGAGCATGTTGGTATCTGCATGAATACTTAAGCATCCACCTGCCAGAGACTTGGATAAAAGTCACGCCTACAGCATATGGTCCCACAGTACAACTATCTTTTTCCACCACTTTCTTGTTTTCAGTCTCTGCAGTTGACCTCCACTATGGAACTATGGGGATCTACTCTGGCTTTAGTCACTTTGCAAGGTGCTAAGCATAGCTACCCTCAGGTTCAGAGTCATTTTGAAAAGTAGACAACTCACCCATCTCTCTCCATTGTCAGCCTTCCCCAGGATCTGACTGCTTCTGCTCACTCAGGAGTGAACTCTATAGATAGCCATGCTTTATATTTTATCTGGAGTCTATGGTTATTATTTGTAAGAAATTTGGTTTAGTTGGGTTTGTTGAGCTACAGGAGATGCAAAAACTATGCTTTCTTACAGTGTTTGTTCATGAAAAGGTTTTTCTTAACTTTTTTGTCATTAATATTGTAAATATTTTCTTGCCTTTTGGTTTTCAGTCATACTTGGAAAGCTTTCCCCAATGTTCATGTCATGGAGGAATCCACCCATGTGTTCATCTAAGACTATGCATGGTTTCATTTTAAAATTTTAGATACCTTTCTGTTCTGCTTTTCTGTGTATAGATGTAACACTTTTAATATGGAGACTGTGAAATATGTTTTGGGACTTAGTAGAGCTGCTCCATTGCTCACAGCTCTTCTTTTATACCTTCCTGCATAATTTTAAATATTATTTTCAATTTAATTTTCATTGTCAATTCATCTGGATCCAAAAAAATACAAGAATTATTCTTATATTTAGTTGATCTAGTAAATGTAGTGGTTAAATTCTGGAGGAGTGATGTCTTTATGATGTTTTGCTATCCTGCCCAGCAATTGTAAATGTCTTCCATTCCCCAGGGCTACTTTTGTGCCCTCCTAGGGTATTTACAACTTTTACTCATCAAGTTTTTATTAATTTTTTTTATGTTATGCCTAAACTTTTGATTTGCTTTGTAAATATGACTTTTTGTTCCATCACATAATTGATATTATTTATCTATATTAAGGCTATTGATTTTTGTGTACTAAATGTATAGATTGCTGCCTTCCTCATTTTTCTCATTGAGTTCATTTTTAATCTGATTTTCTAGGGATTCTTTGTATACTATCGTGTCATCTACAAATAGTTTTCCCCTCTCTAAGTTTTTATTTTCTCTTGGATAATTATATTGACTCAAGCATAACAGGACTATGGTAAGTATTAATTGAAATAGTGGTCCTCCTTACTTTTTTATGAAGCACAACATAAATGAATCACTAGATTACATACACATAATTGTGCTAAGGAAATGTCCCTATACTCCCATATTTTTGAATGTATTTTTTGAACTTATGCTATTGAATTTTATCAGAAGCTATTGTTAGAATTAATGAAAACCACGAGATTAATTTTCTTATTTATATAGTACAGTTTATTATTAGATTGTATAATATTGAACTGTCACTGCATTCCTGAAATATGTCTTACATTATCATGGTATATTATCTTTTTAATTCCATGTTTTCAGTATAATTGTTTCCTTGGAAACAAGACTTATGAGGAAGAATGCATTAAATTTCTAAACATAAGTATCTAATCTGTTCCTGTATTCATTAATGTTTACTGAAACATACACATTCTGTAAGAATCAAAGAAAACATTAGAAGAATGAACACTTGAGATACATGGTTATCTCAAGGAGTAAGATTATAAATGACAGATTGGTTATAGACTAATTTTTTGTCTATGTACATTTATATTATGTTATTACTTGTGATACACATATACGTTAATTGAATAATTTCAGAGAAAAAAAATTAAGATAATAAAAATAATGCAGTTTCTATATATTATCATACAGCCCCTAAGTGTTACAAAGCCTGATATATATTCCACAATGTATGGTGGAATGGTGTTCCACACCCTTATATTCTTCATTCATGACATGATTTTTGTTTTACTGTTATCATATGTCATATTTGTGTCTCCCACACTAGGCTATGAACCCTGAGGAACAGTGACCCAGGTCAAGTAATCTTTGCATAACCAAGGGAGTTAGTGAGGGCACAGAAGTTCCTGTTAGAAATGTGAGTATTGGAGCAAACCTGAGACTTGTGCTGGTACACTGGATCCTAATCCTTTGATCTTCAGACTCTTCTCTGAACAACTTCTTGCATGATCACATGAGAATGACTCTTAGTGATTTGATCCTGGGGCTAATGTTTTTGGTGCAAACAGGGATTGGGGTCCTGGGGAACACCTTTCTTCTGGTAACTTACACCTCCACAGCCTGCACCTGCCAAGCCCTGAGGCCCACACACCTTATCCTCACCAACCTAGCTGTGGCCAACCTCTTGGTTCTTCTCTTCAAAGGGATCCCTCAAATAATATTTATCTGGGGAGTAAGAAATATTCTGGAACATACAGGGTGTAAACTTGTCAATTACATCCACAGAACAGCCCGGGGCCTTTCTCTCTGTACTACTTGCCACTTGTGCAGTTTTCAGGCTATCACTATCAGCCCTAAAACTATGGGGTGGATGAAGCTCAAAGGTAAAGCCTTGAAGAACAACAGATTCTTCTGCTTTCTATGCTGGATCTCCAACCTGTTGATGAATGTCTTTGTTCCTAGAACTGCACAAGCTCTTCAGGATATCCATAATGCTACTAAGACACGAAATTATGGACTTTGCTCTTCTCAAAATCCAGACACATCTTCCATTGTAACCTACACAATTTTAATGACTTTCCCAGATTTTGTGTTTATGGGACTCATGGCTGGGGCCAGTGTCTACATGGTCCTTCTCTTACACAGACACCACCAGAGAGTGAAGCATATTCACACCCTCAGCATCTCCCACAGGTTCTCTCCTGAGGCAAAAGCCACTCAGACCATCCTGCTTCTGGCAACAAATTTCATTATGTTTTACTTCATCAATTCTATTCTTAGAATATATCATATTGCTTTTTTCAAATCTCACTTCTGGCTCCAGCACACTCCCACTTTTCTGGCAGGATGTTATCCCACCTTTAGCCCCTTGATACTGATGGTTCATGAGCCTCAAAAACCTAGTTTCTGCTCTTAGGTGGAGGAAAAAAAGATCTAAAAACATGTCCTGACATTCACAAGTGTTTCTTTTCTTCAAAGAATCTAGTTATTCACTGATTTAAATATGAATGTGTGAACATGACATATACCCAAGAAACTGATACTAAATAAAGAGATTTAAATACATTGACTTAGCCATGTAGAAGCCTTCAGCTTTACTCAGAAGACATACATACTACCAAATAAAAACAGTACTGTGTGTTTTCACCATACCAATATTTTCTATTTGCATCATTCCTTTAAAATATTTTACGAAGGCATGGAGGTAAATTTGGGCAGATATTGGACATTTTAATCATTCCTTACACCAAATTGATTCCATATTTTGTATTAATAAAATGTAACAGCTGTCATCATATACTGGCATGAGAGAGGGACCTCTTGCATCCTGGTATGAGGAGGGAGAGTTGACCTGAATGGAGGTGGGAAATGTAGAAGAGGGACACACACACGAACAAAACACACAGAAGAGGAGAGATAGGATGGTGTCAAGAAGACTGACAGAGCTGATGGCTTCAGCCAGCTCCTGAAACCTGAAAACAGCTTTATTTGTACAATATCTTAACAAGGTTACATGAGTCTTTGCACGTGGGGTGATCAACCTTAAAGAGGAAAACCTGTGTGCTTGCTGATAACAAGATAAATATTCATGGACTATGTGAATTCTAGCAGGTGAAAAGAATGTTGTTAAAGGAGGAGAAGTTGTTAGGGCTCTCTCTTTCTGAGTATCTCCCAGGCCGTGGGGGCCCTGTTGCCCACAGTCCGCTCTTCACAAACTGTCTGTACCAAGACCAACTGTGTATGGGAAGCTACATAATCATTATAAGAGCTGGGGAATTTACCTATAGGATTAAAAAATTGCCCTCTGAGAGTTGTAAGGTTGATCAATTTTTGTAATGAAATAATGGAGACATTGTTAAGTCATATTTTTTAAGTGAGGTCAAAAATCAATCTCTCCTTTGCCTGCTTTCTTCATCTTGCTATTCTCCCCCACATTGAGTTCCCTTTTCAGAAACAATTGAAGATCCCAGAAGCCTAAAAGAAATAAAAATTATCTTCCCAATTGCTAGACTTATTTATTAAATCTGCTTTATAAATTTGTTTTTAATAACTCCCAGACAAAAAATGGAGTATAAACATCAGGCCTCAGGATCAGAAACATATGGAAAAACATGTCTGTCTTCAACCTTGTGGGACTCACGTTAACAGTACCTTGTGAATTTGCCTGAACTCACCTTCTTTGTCACCCTTAAATTCTATAACTGTTTGACTCACCCATGGTCATTGTTTCTTACTTGGGGATATCATGTCATATCCTTGCTGTTTCTCCTTTTCCCTATTCTCTTTCAGTCTCTTACTCCCCTTCTTTTCTATTTCTAAGATAAAACAAGTCTGTACTTTAACAACTTAATCTAAACCTACAGAAATTATTTCCTGCAAGGAACAGCTACTGATATTTACACCCTGAAAAGATTGCTGTGAGAAGAATAAATGCAGTAAGAAGGCAGGTTTTCAAGAATAGTGAGGACTTCTGAACATTTATTCTTCAATAAAAACAACATAAATATTGTCAACGTCAAATTTTGTGATGACTCCAGAAATTAACCAAGAGCTTAAAGTATTCTATGCATCATTTTTAAAGAAAAAATTGTGGACCTCAAAAAAAAGAGTCAAGTTTCTGGAATTTTAACTTGGCATGTGCCCTTTTCCCTTTGCCCAGTTATATACCAGCTTTGGAAAATATCAAGTTCAAAATTACAATATCCATGAATATTATCGGACTTGCAATCACCAGCCTTGCACCAGAGGGACACAGAAGCTTGAAAATACTGAAAAAGTGCCATCCACAGAGTGCTGCCATTCTGTGACATATCTTACAACTCCATGATTAAGTTCCATTCTTTGTCAGGACTCATTCTTTGAGCTAACACACTGGTCTCTCTTAGGGAAAAGCTTTACCAAGCACTAGTCAAAAATAATCAACTTTAGTTTTTAGCACTGCCATACTCAAATTCCAAAGTATATTTTGACCAAAGAAGAGCTCTGCCATGATTTTTATTGCAACATCTGAAGAATAAAATATTCATAGGGGTCTTTTAAAAATCCTGACATGTTCATGAAAATATAGAATGCCCCACAATTATGTAGGGCTATGTACCTGCCCACCTGGCTGGTATGGAAGCCCTGAGAAGTGTACGGTAGACTTGTACATTGAAGAGGTTCCTTGATACACACATAGTGTCCCATGCAAAAGTGGAAGCCTTAATGGCTCAAGAGAATTAAGGAAATCTCAGATCAATTGTTAGCTAATGATGCAGACTTAATTTGCTGCATACCACAGATAAAACAGACTTCAAAGAATTAGTCCTGGAATGCCTCTAAACACACTATTAACATCAGCAACGATAAACTTTAGGGAGAAGGAGAATCTGGCTTCCTAAGAAGCAACATTATGCTATCTAAAATGTGTAGCATCAACAAAGTCTGTGAGAAAGAGAGAAAAGAGTCACTCATACATGCAAAAAAAAAAAACAAAAAAACGGTGAGTCAATAGCACTTGGGGAGGTACCCATATGTCAGACTTAATACTAATGCACAAAGAATTTAAATAAACTATTATAAATATGCTCAAGGGACTTTAATAAGTCACATATAAAGAACTAAAGAGAAGTATGAGAATGATGCCTTACCAAATATGGAGTAGCAACAAAGATAGCAGTAATTAATGGCAAATATCAGGTGGCAGAAGAGAGAATAAGAAAAATGAGGATAAGTCAATAAAAATAGATTATTTTTGAGGAATAAAAATAGTGAAACAGAAAACAGTTTAAAAACAAAATAGACCTAAGAAGTCTCTGTTGTACTCAAACACACCAACATATACATAATATAAGTCCCACAAGGGCAGAAAAGAGTAATGTACTCTTCTAAAGAAAATATGAAGAAATAACAGTGAAAGATTTACCAAACTTGGTGAAAATTAGTTTATATGTCTAAGAAGGTCAACGAATTCTGAATAGCATCAACATATTACATTCTTCATGGGCTTTAGATAAATAGACAGAGCCTCCTCTTTCTTCTCTAACTTTTATGCTACAGACAAAGTAAACAATTCAAGAATTAGTTACATATCACCCAATATCAGTCACTAGTTTTTCCAAGACTTTTGTTTATGTTTTTTGAGACTGGGTCTTGAGACTGCCTCTGTTACCTAGGCTGGAGGGAATGATGCTATCACAGTTTATTTTCTTTAGAATTGAATTCATGGGCCCAAAAAATGCTTTTTCCTCAGGCTTCCAGGGAGATGAGGCTACAGTAACAGTCCACCAAACCAGCTGATTATTATTACTTTTTGTAGACATGGAATCTCTTGCTATGTTGCCAAGGTGGTCATGAACTACTGGCCTCAAGCAAGTTTCTCAAGTCAGCCTCTCAAAATACTAGGATTTCCAGTATGAGGCTCTATGTTTTACCTTCTCATGTTTTTATCACATACACACACATGAATTAAGAGACATTGTTGGTGCCATCACCAAGGAAGCAGGCCAGAGAATGGATTGTAAGCTCAAAGCTTGCAGGAGGTGGGCCTCCCCATGTGTTTGGGAGAAAAGGCCCCAAGCAACCTCCACAATTGCTATTTATTGAGATCAAGCTCCCCTCCCCTGACCCTGACCCCCACTCTGGAATTCCACAGCTGATCAATTTCCAACTGCCAATGTCTGTTCATTAACTAGTGATTGCTTGTATGTTTTATAAAACTGCCACTTTGTCCCTGCAGTCCCACTGTCCCAGTCAATCCCCATTTTGTCTCTGCAAGCCGGGTTCCTACACATCTTACTGCATAGGTTGCTACATAGATCACTACATATGTTGTTACATAAGCTTCTACATATCCTATTACATAGGTTGCTACATATCTTGTTACATAGGTTGCTACATGTTCCCCTTTTTTTGTTTAAGACATTCTTGTGCAGGGTGAAGGAAAAATCCATAGTTATTTATTTCATTTTCTCTTCTTGTGAAATAGCACTCCTTCTAGTTAGGTGGAGAAAAGAAAGAAAGAAAGAAAAGCACAAAATAGTTAACAAAACTACATCAGAGGAATCAGTGAGGGCCTTCACCAAAAAAAAAAAAAAAAAGGGATTTGTGTTCTAAACAAATAAGGGTAATATTAATTTTACATATTTCATCACCTAACTGTTTTTGGGCAGACCCATAGGATTCTTGACACTTCCATAGGAGGTATTAATCAACACCCCCCGTTTTCTGCTTCTGCACATTATCCATTGCACCCATTAAATGAGCAGCAACAGGCAGAGTGCAGACTGGAATGACAGGTGGGGAAGTGTCAATCTAAAGGAGCAGTAAAATAAGGATTAAGAATATATATTCAACAAATAAAGATTCTCTTACCTTTGCTGATACAAGAAGTTTTCTATGACTTCACATTTCCATTACTAAAGCTGGCTGCTTTGTTCAGAACCTTATTAGAGCTTAGAGGGTGTGGACTGAGCTTACTAAGGCCTAGAGAATCAAGAGACTCCTTAAATGGTGGAATCCCATATCAATCCTTTGTCTCAGAAGCTCTAACTGCCTATAGGGAGAAAGGGTGCTGACAGCTCTAAGCTACTTCCTGCTGAGGATGGACAGTGATATGGGAGGCAGTTAGAGGCTTCTCAGAGGATGGTGATCTAGGGTTCACAGTAAATTAAAATTGGGGTGGAAAGTTTGGAATAGAATGTTTTAATGAAATCTTAGGCCTAAAAACTTGAGATTCCTTATTCCCTTAAATAAGGGAACCTTGTATCTATAGAAGGAGTTACTAAGGATAAATTAGTCAAGATGTTGGTGAGGTCTCCTGCTCATGTTGAGGTTTAATCCAGTGAATAGGCAGCCACTGCTTTTTTTGTTGTTCTGTAATGATATGAGCAAACACTCAACTCCAATGTAGCACATAACAAGGTATCCATTTAGATA